CTGGCTGCGCTAATTGCATGTGCCCGGTCACTGCGAGGAGGGGATGTCAGCACGGCTGGTGTGCGGCGTGTCCCATTCTGCTCCTGCTGCAAAAGGGGTCTGCAGGGAGCTGCCCTTCCTTGTGCCCTTGCTGGAGATGCACTTTCCCCCTGGGATAAGGGCTGTGTTCCAGTCTGCTACGTCTGCAGCTATAACGTGGGTTCAGACTGAGCACAAGGATCAATGCTCAGCTAAGCAACACTGGAGACTTTAGAGCATTTGGGGCGGCCAGTAAGTGAGGCCGCTATCAGATACTGCAGCCCTGCTTGCCTGGAGCCTCCCATCTTTCCGGGCAGCAGCGCTCGGGGCCGCACTGCAATTCCTCAGAGTGGGTGCCCACCAGCTGGGTGCAGCACCCAGCGCAGGCTCACTCACTCCCAGTGATGGTCACAATCCCGCTCCCAAATGCGGCAACCAACTTGGGGCACTTTTCCTGGGACAACCCACCAAAGATCCACAACACACCCTGGGGAAGGATCCTGAGGACCGAGCGGACAGAAGCAGGTTGGGAATGGAGCTCAAGCTACTCTTTAACCTGACTTCAGCCTCCTTAAACCCAAGTGACTTATTCACACCCCYAACCCACAAGCCAGCAGAGAAGGGATCTCTGGCCACCACCCTGCAGCCCTGAGGTCCAGGCATTCCCACTGAGCACAGGCAAAAACTGGGGAAAGGGAGGACTCCACCCTGGGGATCAGCTCCTTCTTCCCCTTCCTGGAGAAGGGTCCCTGTCTGGTTCTCCTGGGAGCTTTCAGGGGCAGCTGCAGACAGAAAGGCACAGTCCCTACTTGCTACCCGCTTCACTAATGCCATTTACCTGGGTAATCAGACACGTCAGAGAACTAAACACCAACCACCCTCAGTAGGGAGCTGGATGGTTCCTCCCAACTCTTTCCATCTGCCAGCGCCTTCCTGCTRGTCCCCCCAAACCAAAGGGTTGGTAGCCCCAGAGCTGCCACCTCCTTTGYCCTTCTCATCCCCTCCAGAACTTCCCCAGAGCAGCTCTGCTAACGTGGGCCAGTGCCCAGGCCACCAGCGGGGCTGYGAGTGCCAGCTAGGACAGCTTCCCCCATTAAGAGTAATTAAAACAGGCCATTTTTTGATCTCCTTTCCTCCCTCCTTTCTCCAGGGTTTGCTACACACCACAGATAAGGCTGATTTGCCAAGAGACCCAGAGCTGCAAGGAAGAGCTAACGGTGAAGCCAGTGGGCAACAGCAGCTCCATCCATAGGGGACGCGCCAGGGCCCCGGGGCCGACGGGACGAGGCAGCCGAGGCCAGCACGGCTCCCAGAGCTGCAGCCTTGTCCCGGCTTGTTCTCCCACTAGCTTGGGGTGCCTGGCGTGTAATAAGGGAGCCTGAAAAGCAGGCTCCTTCTCAGACATGCCAGGCACCCACAGCTCCAGCAGACGCGTCCCCAAAGCATCAAGCTCCGGGTGCACCCAAAGAAAAAACTTGYGTTTTGACTAATGCTCAGATGCCTCTGCTTCCTCGTCTGGGAAAAGCTCAGGCCTAGGACTGAGGCTCAAGGGGAAATCGCTGTTTAGCAGCTCCTCTAATTGTTCTGGAATTGCAATATCAAGCAGTAAATTCACGTCTGCACTCGCTGCTCTGGGTGGCAAAGCTGCACCAGGCAGCGCCCAATCTCTGACCACTGCAGCGCTGCAAAGGGAAAGGGAAGGAGGGGGTTAAGGGAGGAGAGCGGTGCCAGTTGGAAGTGCTACCTAAAAAGGGTTTCTCCTACAAGCTGAAGCAAAATGGTTTCTCTTGCCAGCGTGTTTACTGCGCAGCTGAGAGCAGCGAGCAGCCAGGTTTGGTGCTGGAGCTGCCGCCAGATCGACGGCCGCAAGGCTGGACCCGGGAACCTGCTGCAAAACATCAGCCCCATCGGCAGCCCGGGGCCGGATCCATCRCTCCAGCACCACCGATGGCCCCRGGGACAGGTGGCATCAACGTGGAGKAAGGTGCCACTCCGGCTCTCCAGGAGCCGGGCGGCAAATCCCGGCCCCATCCTCCTGCCCCCGGCGGGAAGCAGGTCCCAGCCGTGCAGCAGCCAGTTACAAGCTACAACTATCCTCAACCTGCTGGTTTCAGTAGGTCCTCAGGGCCCTTTCCCATGGGAACGGTACCCAAACGCCATCAAGATACTAAGGCAAACAGTGCAAGACAAACGAACACCTCTGGGAAGGCAGCATAGGATGTGGGCTCCAACCCCACGCATCCCACCCTGCTGCAGGACTCATTACCTGCTGTCAGAAAAGCAGAGCTTACAGCCACGCACTGAGACAGRGATCCCTCAAATCCACGTTTTCTGGGAGACTTGGGAGTTCAGAGGCCAAACACCAACTAACACCCACTTGCAGAGGCAGCCCACAGCCACTACCAGCCTTGCTGCTACGATGCAGCACCCTGTGACCAGCGAGAGGATGAGACCCATGTTTTATAGATGTTATATTAATTACCCAGAGTGTAAATAAGATTAAGGTTTTAATTCTATCTGCATCTCCTGCTGCACTCTCGGGCTTTCGGTGCCACAAAGCTTTGCAGGCGGCTACGGCAAAGGGCACCTCCCCGAGAGCCCGGCATGGCGGCACCGGCTCCCAGGGCGGGATTGTCCCACAGGGCAGCCCCGGTACCTGTGTTTGCACCCACCTCGATATGCCCAGCACCCCTGCAAGCCTGGGTTGAGGCGGGAGAGCAAGCAGGAGCTCAGGGATGCAGGCTGAGGCAGGGGACGCACAGAGACATGCAAGGGAAAGAGATGGGTAGAAGAGAGAAAGGAGATGGTGTGAAAACCACCTCAGGAGCTGCCCATGCCCACAGCCATCAGCCACCCCACACATGGGGCTGTGATTATTTTGCTGTTTGATGGAGCAGGAAGCAGGCCAAGAGGCTCCTGTAGGAGCTGGGAAACATATGGCAGGTCACACACCCCCACTTTGCACAGCTGGGGCAGAGGGAAGTTGCACCAGCAGCAAGAAGTGACTTCAGCCAGGTGCCCACAGGGGCAACAAGCCAGGTCCGCAGCTGGAGCTCACACCAGCAGGTATCCCATGGGAACATCGCTCATCCCACACTACATCATAGTGAGGAGGGAGGCACAGAGGCCTCTCACCCCGTTGTGTCCTGCACCAAGCCCGGGACACTGCACAGCCACCCAGRAACAGCCCTGGACACACCAGCCAGGGCTACAGCAGTTGCTCTCCGCTGGCCTCATCACCATCTGTGGGTGACAGGCTGTGTTTAGTCACCTCAAGGACACACCGCTCCCACACTAGTGTTACCTGCAGAGCACACATCCAAGCTCCTCGTTGGTCACTGCCCAGCATGGGGCACCTACCCCGCTCCCTGTGACACGGGGCTCTGTGACACGGGGCTCTGTGACACCACAGGCAGGTCACCAGGCAGCCCAGCGCTCCCCTCCCCATCAGCACCCACCGCAGGCTCCTCTTACCTGCCCACCAAGGGCTCCTCCTCGCATCACTGCTCCATGGGTGCAGCACCACATCCCTCAATGCACAGGGACATCTAGTCCCATGCATCCCAACAGGCCCCATTCATGGGCCCATGGCCTGGCCAGAACCATCTCCCCAAGCAGAGCCTCCCACTGCACCACACCCTCAAATCCTCTGAGGAGCAGGTAGGAGCAGAGCCCCCTTATTAGCAACAGCTGATAGACCCTCCTGCTTCCCCATTGGGGAGAAAACAGGTGGGACTGGAGGCCATAACGAGCCAAGCTGATAAATAGCACCGCTCCCACGGGAATTAAAACCTCTGCAAAGCTGGACGTGCAGTTAGGTGCCTGCAAGGCTGGGGGGCTGCTTGGGGACTCTGGGGGGACAGGGTGGCTGGAAGCACCATCAAGATGTGGGCTCCCAGGGCTGACTCTGCCAAGGGGGCACATCCAGCCCTGACATTCATTGGGGAGGGGGGGTTCTCCGTGGGGTTATTGGGAGGGTCTCCAGTCCAGTGCCCTGGGAAAGGGGATTGGGGGACACTCTTGGTGTAGGGGTGTGGGCAGGTGGCAAAGAGTGTTTCATGGTCATGGTGCTACTCGGTGGTGACCCCAAGAGCCCTGCTGGGGTGCCGGTTCCGGAAGCCCTTTGAGAGGGAGCTCCGGTGTCCGCGGTGGAGGCATCCGGTCGAGTGTGGGGCTGCCGCCATCCTAACGGGAACGGAGAGGGGCACGGGGCGCGGAGAGGGGCGCGGGCGCGAGGGGAGCAGCGCTCAAAGGCGGCAACCCGCCACCCCGCGCCTCTCCAACSGCAGCCCCATTGCACGGCGCTCGGCGCCTTGCAAAACGCGCTCCTTCCTTTTGCACCGGCCCGGCCGCCGCCGCCTTCCCCGCCGTGCAGCGCCCGCCGCGCGCCCGGCGGCGTTTGAACGGCACAAAGGGCCCGCCTCGCCGCCATTGGCCGGCGCGCCCGCCCGTCACGCCGCCCGCC